AGCACTGATATTGACAGTGGCTGCCCATGGGCTACAGAAGATATAAAGAAGATATTGTCACAGGGTCGTGACGTGGCCGAAAACAGGAGACTTCGGGTTGGGATTTAACTGTTTATTTGGGCGAACCTGTGCCCGGTAAACGGAAAGTCCAATTACAGCAGCAGTCTTGCACAGATAGCAGTCTCGGACTGATAGCGGCGAACGGAGCGTTGGCCTTCGATCAACAACTGACAAGCGGCGAAGCGCGTCGGCATTTATACTCTTGCCGTCGAATGTTCTAGAGTTATCGCTGGCGGTGGCGTAGGTTCCAGAACAATCTGTACCGTTCGCACAGTGGGCGTGATCTTATCGAAATGATCTACTACAGTCCGGAACCTTCTCGAAAACTGCAGGCGCGGTTTGCGCTGAGAATCGTGTGGTGTTTTGGGACGATATCAAAAACTTGGGAAATGGAACGTGGCAATATATAGACAAGGCAAATGACTAATATTGAAGACAATAAATATTTTGCTAAAACAAGACCTTCTTCTTGCATCGGGACAGGCACCTTTTCATTGAAATCATCATGCTTTTGGATTTAGAGCGCACTTAATTTCTTGCCAGAACGACTGTCAGTTCCTGCAGGAAAACTTCACGTCCCTGGCTGGAACGACTTCTATTTCCAGTGAGAACCACTTTCATTTCTGGCTGGAAGGATTTCTATTTCCAGCTAGAACAGCTTCTATTTCCAGCCAGAATGCTTTTCATTTTGGCCAGAAAAAATCTGGCTGGGAACATTTTTCTGTCTCATAATCCGGGCGGGACTGGAAATGATTTCCAGCTGGAGAGCTGGCATCTGCTCGATGCGCTGACCGTGGAGACAAGAACGCATGCGAAACACAGGCAAATTAGCCCCTCATCTCGTTGAAATTTATGGCAAAAGAATGAAAAAGACGCGCACATTCACTTTTTGTGTCTTATTCCTTATTTCAAGTTTTATTCATGCATTGAAGCAACAAATCATGCAAAATACACATGACATGTGAAAAAATTTTGGCCATGTCTTGTACTACTAGTGGCCGCGTCAGAGCACAGTCGTCTACGAAGAGGCCTGACGTCACAGTGCTGCCGTCTACATAGAGCCATTTCTACGTCTATGTCATGCGCTCATTCTGTGGGCGCATGCCCGTGAAAAGAAGGAAAAGCAGCGTTCATCTTAAAATTTGACCCTCTCCGCAGCGCATGGCATTGCAAGTTTCGGCAGATGTGATTGTGCATGATGTATGCATTACGCTCGTCAGCTCAAAGTTGTCAAACGTGGCGAGTGGCCTTTTAAACTATGTTTTTATTTTGAAGTGTCGTTATTTTGTGATATATAAGAGTAATTTAACATTGTATCGTCAACTGCACTGGCTATCACACCAAAATAAAATGCACAGATACATTAAAAAATGTTTTTTTTACAGCGAAAGCTGTTATGAGATCACAACTCGGGCTTCGCGCAGCGCCGTAGTTGTCCGCCGCCGTAGTTGTTTGCCGCCGCTTGGGACTTGTTGGCAAACTTGCTTCAGGCAGGCTTGATGTCGCAAAAGCAATCGCATTAGGACAACTTATAAAGTGCTTTAAAACAGTGAAAAAACAAGCAGTCGTCGCACAATGTGAATAGCATAATGAGCGGGTCATCCAATGCTCCAACCCAATACAAAAGCTTGTGTTTGTTCACGTATTAACTGTGGCGCATACCCACTCCAGGCATGATTCCTCATCGTCGTCAGCCACTGCACGAACAATTGGCACAAAATTCCTCGCAATAGTTTAGCGCACACCACGTTTCTCAGAAGAACAACAAAAAATAGCATAGCGAATGCCCGCCTACAACCCTAAAATTTTTATCAATAACGCCGTAGTGGGCACCAAGTAAGTGTGCTTGCAGCAGTTAGCCAATGAGTGCTTACAAAAGGCTCTGAAAGGTCGCTCTTCTAGCTTTCACTGTGACTGTGCTGCACGCTCTGCAAAGGCCTAGCATTTTTTTTTAATGAAGGTGGGGTGTGGGCTCATTACGCGAGTAATTAGGGTATATAACCACATACTGTTTATGTTGCAATTTCTTATCAGCACCATGTGTTTTTGATGCTTTTATTTGTGTTTTGGCTTTTGTAGGCTTTATTGTGGTCACTGCTGTCAGTGCACATGTGTGTGTGTTCTCAAACATAACCGAGGTCATCAGTTGAACTACAGCAGTTGAGTCTTTTTGTATTCTTCTTGAAAAATCATAGATCCCTAACTGGCCAATCTTGAGACTGGAACCTCAAGGATAGACTGACAGACAAGGCTGTCAAATTTTGTAAGAGAAGTGAAGGCACACTAATGCAAGTGCTTCCAGGTGTATAAATATGGTAGGTGTGCGCGAATGGTGAATTTCAGGTTCAAAGCGAATTCGAAAAAAATAGCAATTTTAGTCGAATAACTTCGTATCCAATTCGAATCGTATGTATGACATATAGAAAAAAGGAATATTTATCATGACCAAACTAACCTGCACAATGTTTTTCTTTTTAATTGAAATAAGGTGTCTATGCAAAAGCCTTTTTTTTTTTCATTAAAAAGAAGTTGAACCAATTGTGAGTAGTAGCAGGATTGGAGTTTCGGTAGAATGCGAGTGATAACCCATATGAAACATAACATTTGAAAAATTATAATACAGTGAACTGCCTTCAACACAAACTCTGTCACGACGAATTCTTGCTTTAAGATGATCAACACATGAGTGTTTTCTTTCCCATAAACTCAATACAAAAAAAAATCTGCTTAAGACGAACCGCATAACACAACTTTTCTGTTGAGATGGACTCTCACAGCAACCAACAAAAAAAAAAAAGATTCTGCTCAACAAACATTATAGTTTTGATGGCGAACTGAGAAAGCAAAATAAGAAAAAGAGAGAGAGGACTTCTGGCACGAAAACCCAAAGCATATTGAAAGCTAATTGTAGCATGGATAAAGAAAGCAAGATAAGTAGAAAAGAAAGGTTAGCGCATAAATGTGGTATCTCCCTCACCCCTAGCCTGTAGGTGAAGAAAGAGTCGTGCTACAGTTTTATTGTTAAAATTTAGTATTGCTAAAATATAGTAGCAATTTAGTCATGAGCATATTTATTATTAAATTGTGAAATAAAGTATTCACTAGATTAGTCTAAATAGTCTAATTGAAAGCGCAGTTTTTATCGAGCTGAGCCAAATAAATGCTTTTTCTTGTTCCTTTCCTCCCCAATGTAAGCATACTTCATTCAGTGGTTTCAAGCAACATATTTAATTGTACTTGGCATTTCAGCACTTGGTTTAGTGAATACTTCTGATAAAACGAACTCCTGATAAGATAAACAAATAAACGAGGTTCCTTGAAGTTCGTCTTAAAGGGAGTCTACTGTACTATAGAGCATATCAGTCATCATAACAAGCTTTCAAGCTTACTAAAATAATGAATTCATTTGTGGCTAATATGTTCATTTAAAGGGGCCCTGCAACACTTTTTCAAGTATCCATGAAATGGATTCGCTAAAAAAGCTTATTGCTTCACGAATTCACCACTTCTCAATTTTTAGAATCCATCCAGTACGAGCGGAGTTGCTAAGCTTTCTCGCACGCTGCGATTGCATTTTCTCTTTTTGACCCGACGATAGAGCTGGAAGCTAAGCAGGGAGAGATGGCACGAAGAAAGAAAATATGTCGCGCGCCTTGCGACCTTGAGCATTTCTTCTGCCCCCCTTTTTTTTTTCTTCGAATACGTGGCTTTTTAGTGCGATCGCGCATGTACGCGCGGACAAGTGGCGGCCTCCTACCGAGGCCCCAGTAACGAACAGGTGCACCATGCTCAAATCAGCCTATGGCTTTGACAAGTGATTTTTGAGCTTGCAGTGCCATTTGCCGAGAAAAAAAACTTTTTAGCCGAGCTTGAGAATTTATTGTGAATTGTAGGCCACAGCTACAATTTATTATTTGGTTCACATGTTCTCGGTAGCTTTGACTACCGATCGGCAGCGTTTCGTGATCAGGCTCAATAAGTGTTGCGGCGCCCCTTAAAATTTGAAAAGGAATTTCGCGGCAGGACGAATTTCCCTGAATAGGTGTTTTCACGGCTTAGCGCCCAGCACTGCAGTGAAACCACCTTTACAAACAATTACATGCGGATTAATATACACCTCTTCGTTCATTGAGAATACTTCCTGAAATTTTCAATAATTTAAATTCGAATCAAAGCTAATTTGAATACTCTACTATTCGTTCGAACATTCGAAGCATTCTAATATTTGCACGAGCCTAAAGTATGGTTATTTTCACTTATCTCACATGCCTTTTTGTCTCAGTATATGTGCTCATGAAGTGACGAAAAGATAGTTGGGTTATTGAAGACCTAACTCTTTATTTGGGTACACTCGTGCCAAAAATGAAAAGTCAGAATACAAGCAATACACAAGCACTAATAGCAGAGAAGAAAGCGCCAGCCATCACCATTCTGCCAAGTGGTCAAGCGCGTCGGCCTTTACACATGTGCTATCGATGCTATTGATGATTTCAGCATTATCACTGGTTGCCACATAAGCTTTAGAAAACACTAGACTGTTTGCGTCCTTAACGAAATATTAGCCCAATCAATGTTAAGCGTTGTGATTAACAAAGACGATGCAAATGATGCAAGAATTTGAAGGCAATGTTTACGCAGATGCCCGTGACTCTGATACTAATGACAACTCTGCTAGCCAGCCTCTGCTTCGCTCAACCCATGAGCCTTAGTGTGCACAGCAGCAGTTCGATTTTTGTCTTCAACTGGATGATTATCATAGAAACAAATCTGGTCTGTGTGTATCAGAAAATGTTTTTAAAGAGTAAAGCTTGTTAACTTTTTTTTTTAATTGAGCATGTTTCACACAAAATCACCCCTGAAAGATACATTTCATCTTTGCCTTTAGTGACCAATTAAAGGAACAGAGCCATATCAATGAGTGACAGAAAGCTGTAACTGACCTTGTCCAGGGCAATGCGCAGGTCAGCCAGGGTGGATGACACCTGCTTAGTAGAACTGCTGAGCTGCAACGCGCAGGCTGGCTCCACAATGGTAGGCACGCAGACTTTGGATGCGGACACCATTTGGCTGGCCGGCTGTCAGGAGACACAAAACAGGTACATGAAGCCAGCAGATGCGCTCACTCACCAAAGATCCCATGGTAAAACATTGGCTAGATGTCTGCACACTTACGCGTTTTAAGATGCTCAAGGCCTGCATTTTGAGACACCAGCATTGGAATTATTAGCATTCATTTTGACGAAAAGATCCGTAAGCAGAACGCGTGTGAGCTTGATCAGCCATTTAGACAAGCGTTCTTCTAAGTGCTTTAAAAAAAATGGTTGTCAAAACGTCCGCTCGAGCACTTTGTCGCAGTCTTCCCCTTGGTGCCATTCTTGAGCACTTGCAACTGATAAGGCCTCACTTTCTAACAGCATGGTTTTTGTTGCTCAGAGCAGTTATGTACAGAGGAATTGCTGCATTTGTGATGTTGATGTTCTCAAGTTTGAACCCACTGACACTACACAACAAAACCACAAAGAAAGGGCAGGTGTTATTGCTAAAATGAGGCTCATGAGAACCAACCGGGATGAGTTCTTGACACGAGGTGAGTAGCTTGTGGTGAGCCATAGGACTGTCCGGTTCAGCCACGGTGCCTTTGATGCCCTGCACCACTCGAGGGATGACACCGGCCACATCCTGCACCTCAGTGACCATCAGTGACTGCCCCTCCAAATCCCACAGTAGAGCCACTCACCCGGCAGCTCCTCATGAGCTCTTCCTGAAGCATTATGTTGCTGTTGTAGGGACTGGCGTTCTGAGCGGCTGCAATATTCTGTGTAGCAGCTGAAGATGCATGGCGAGCCGCATTCTGAAATGAAAGTGCGATGTCTTTTCTCTCTACAATCACTGCTCAGGTCAAGTTGACTTCTAAAGAATAATTATCTACAAGACCTTCACTTACAACAAACAAGTATGCAATACCAAGTCTTTTTCAATATAGTGGATGCTCTGCCCACTGCCAAAACACTGTGAAGACATGGTACCAAACTAATGTATTTACTCGCGTAAGGAACGCACTCGCATAGTAAATGCACCCCCAACTTTCGTCGTCAAAACTTGGATTTTTCTTTCTTCCGTAATAAACACACCTCCAACATTCAACCGCTGCAGTCCTGGTAACTGACACATGGTGCCTCCTTGCCCGTTGGATCTCTTCCGTTCTTTATAATTATCCCGACCACCCTTGGCCACTTTGGCTCGCTCCCTCCTCCCTTCGCCCACTGCCATGCGCCATATCTTGATATATATTTTTTTCTATCTGTGCAAGGCACGTCCCCCGCCATTTTTAATTATATAGGTGCCACAGCGGGGTTCACAGATGGTGGAAGTGGAGAGACATCGCAGCTGATAAGCACACATTCAGTGAAGGTCACAAAACTGCCTGGGCCAACTGACAATCACCTCCTGCAAATACGGAACATTAAAGCCCAACTACATGCACACGATTTTCTATAAATGACGACACGATTTGGTGTTGCCAAGGCTGTCACAAAGGGCCATTCAGGCCCACTGTGTCGCAGTATAAACAAGAAAAAATCGCTCGTCGCCCAGAAAAAATTGGTGACGATTTCCGCAACAAGGTAGAACCTCTGATTTTTGCATCGGTTGCAATTTGCTCTTCGTGCTTGTTATTCGCGCTTAATTTAAGGAACGCAAGTTATAGACTACCTTTTTTAAAGTAACTTCTTATGTGGACAGCGAGGCGGCGGTCATATTTTCTGTTAATATTGTTATCGGCGGTTTGCTTTGATGCTTCGGTAGTCACTTGCTACAATGCTGGTTACTTGCTACAATATCAACAATGGCGGCAAGGTCTTCGTGCGAGGTTGCTGTGAGGTTGGCAGAGTGCGTCGTAGCACACGCTTTTGGGTGCCCCTTAAGATCACAACAGATACAGCTGTTGCGGTTAAACGATTGTGAGAAAGGATAACTGCAAAACTTTTTTATGGCGTGCGCAGGCGGCGCGAAAACAGCTTGCAAAAGCCATGCCTTCTTTAGGAGGTGCCCATTGCGTCGCTCGCTTTTCCATTGCGGAGGCGGTTCCTTCAGTTTGTGCAGTTCGCCAGAAATATGTGAGGCGGCGCTCGTTGCCTTAGCCACTTCTGGTGGCAGCGGAAATGCGAAGCGTCTGACAGAATCAGGACAGCATGATGCTGCTCAGTAATGCTGTTAGCACCTCCGAGACGGTAACAAGTGTGATAGCAATCTCACAGGCAGCATAACGTGACCTCCATAGCACCTCCGAGACAGTAACAAGTGTGATAGCAATCTCACAGGCAGCATAACGTGACCTCCATTGCAACCATGCACCACACAGTGCCCGTTACCTTTTCGTAGATAAAAAAAAAAAAGAGGGAAAGGATGTGTTCAGCCTGGGAGCCGAGAAACAGGGTGAACTGCTGGCAAGCGAACAACAAAAAGAACTGCATTCTCTCTCCCCAAATCCCATATATACACTCGGTAAACTTTAGCACCTCCTTGTGGTCACATTCTTCAAGGAACACTGGCAGTGCCCTCTACATCTTTCCTTTTCACATTTTATGGGGCAGGTCTGTGCACTTCTTTGGCAGCAGTGGCAGCGTAGTGGTCAAGCAACTCACGCATCTGCATTGTTCATTTGCAGTTTCTACCAATTGCGATTTTCGATGAGCAAGAAACTGTAATGGTTCAGGAGATAGCTTGCGCACTTGGCTGCTGTTCGCAGTTGGCCGATTCAGTGCACATGAAGGACAGCCGCTACTGCACACTGCAAGCCATCGGACAGGTGTGGTTCTCCTGTCTACGTGTTGGGACACTGTGTTCTTGGGTGCTGCCGGCATCACCAGACCGCATAAAAGGAGCTGTTTGGTGGGCGTGCACTTTTTTGGCAGCAGTGGCAGCTAGTTGTCAAGCAACTCACGCAACTGCATTGCCTATCTACAGGTTAGTTCTGGCACAAGGGTGCCAGTTTCTGTGCCAATTATTTTGCTGCGTAGTCACTATGACTGCTATCTTCGCCTTGTGTTTGTGTTGTAGTTTGTTTATGTGTGTATATTCATCCTGTTTTGAGTCATGTAGAAGCTGGCCAATGAATTAAGGGATGAGCTGCAGCAAGATCTAAAAACAGCTCGCAAGGCTATAGAGAGGGATTTCCGCGCGCAGATGAAGGCACTGCGAGCGGGATTTCGTGATGATGCTCACAGTATGGAACACATGAATGCTGTCTTTGAAGATACGCAACAGAATTAAGACGCCATGTAGACAGAGAATGCTGAGCTCAAAGAAGAGAATAGCAATCTACACACTGAACTTGATGAAATGAAGAAACGCCTTGCAAACGCTGGGTCTCGCTCGTCTAAAACACTCTGAACAATAATCAATGAACAAAAACGTTGAAATTAAGGGTATCGATGAAACCCCAATGAGGATGTAACTGCTGTTGTTTGCACACTAGGACAGTTTTCGGGAGTGAATGTTGTACCGGATGACATAGAGGCTTGTCACCGCGTTTATGCTAGAAACAAGCCAAGCTCCATTATTGTGCAGTTCATGAGATCGTAGAAGCGAGATGACCTACTTTAGAAAGCAAGAAAGCTGCACCTTAAAAACAGTGACTTTGGCAACAGCTCAACGTCGCCTGTCTACGTCAATGAGCACCTATGTCCTACATTAAAAGGTCTCCTTGGAATGGCTGTAACAAAAAAGAGGGAAAGTGGATGGAAGCACGTATGATGCCGCAAAAGAACATCTTCAGGAAAGAATCGAACGGCTCAGAGACACTTATAAAGTGGGAGCACGATCTAGAGAAGATTCAATGAACATCTCTGCGTGCCTATCGAGTGCAGTTTAAAAGCGTTCAATACAAAAGAAACAAATTCTGGTGGCACATTTTTATTAATATAAACATTAAAACAAATTTAGCTGAGAAAAAATTGGCAGAATTACATCTAACACGCCGGCAGCGAGTGAACCATAGAACCCTTTTTATTTCTGTATCACATTTTGTGGAAACATTCCGTGAAGAATATGAAATTACAGTTTTCGTTCAGCTGTTAATGCAGAGGCCTTCAAACATGGCAATAGTTTTTCTTGTTGCGATGTTTTTATCGGGTACTGTGAAAGAAATGGGAGTGTTATCGCATTGTGAAGGCACTGATTGTCTTATGTTGGCAATCGTTTTGATGCAGCAGATACTTATAGGCTTTGCCATGATTTTGCAATCATGGTGCATTCTTTTATGCACGTTAGAGATAACCAGAACGGGCTGGTAAATCTGCTTTGTCTGCTGGAATATATTGCATGAAAAGTGTTTTTGTTTGCCTATGATGTTTACGATGGTGCATAAATCTGTAAAAATGATGCAAGTGGATGACCTTTCAGTATGAGCACTCCTGCAATTGTGTCCCTTTTTTTCAGTTGCAATAAGTATGATCATATTGAATGTTTTTTTAGCCAGGCTAAAATTTTATTTGATATAGTAATGTTCACAGAAAAGTGGTTTACCTGCGAAGAGGATGCCTTTGAAATGCGTGGATAGAAATATTACTTTTTAAACCGCGCTGAGAAGTGTGGCAGAGGCGTATCTATTTTAGCCTCAAATAGCATGTAGTGCGAATTACTTTGTGACTTCGACTGCTCTACTCTGTGCTGACCTTGCTACTTACCTTAGCAGATGATTACCGCGGGTTCAGGCTTAGCGAGCCACAAGGCCGCATCTCCGTCGCCTGCTCAATGCTGCTGCTCAATGCTGCTATTGGTTGAGCGCACCGCTCCGCGCGCGCTCAACCAACAAAAGCTTTTAGCGCGGTGCAGCAAAACAGACAGTGTTTGATTAAACAGCAGTACACAAACACTTTATTGCCTTTGGCGGCACACGCGATTCCCAAAGGGGACGGGGACGAAGGAAAACCACGTGCTTACCGGGAGCTGGCCAACGGAGGAGCGAACCTTCTCAGCACACATGTGACTCAGCCTCACCGATTCTCGCAGCCCCCGAAAATACGTACTGCGCCCGTGCATGGCGCCATCTTTTGCCACGTGTTGTTACCAGAGCACGGGAAAAGAAAAGGAGAGCGTCCATACGGCAGAATGCCCGCGAATGCCCGCGAAATGCCTCAGATCCCCACAACTTATAACTGTGAAGCACTTGTTCTCAAATCATGGAGAAGTGCAATTTGTGTCTCCAAGCACAAATCATGGAGAGCACAAACCTGTTTAAGTGTTCCTTCGTTGTGATGTCTTTTTCTTTAGTTGCACAATTTTTTTTCTTTGAGCTTGGAAATATCCTACTCATGCACTGGAATCTAGAAAAACCCCTTCGAAAGGACTAAACTTGAAAGCCATTGCACTTGACCCAACTGCACTAAGAGCCAGTCAGTCCTGGGATGGGATAGGCAGGCACCCTTGTACAGCTATTCAGAGGCCAATAATAGACTGCAAGGCTAAGGCACTAGGCTTCTTTTCAACCAGAACAGGAGGACTTGTCCAATCGCTGGTGCTTGGGCGTATAAGTTCATTTTCAAGGATATCAGCAATCCAGCTATCCATAATGGCCTTTTTCCTAGCATTGAAAAGGCAAAGCTCGCAAAGTACAGGTTGGCTATTGCAATTGTCAATGCAGTGCTAAAAACGTGTAGTGCAACCTGGAATAGCACTAATAATTGGGCTGAAGTTTTCAAGCACTTGTGCTAGACGAGGGTCTATGTTGACCTGAGCCGCTAGGTGTGTGGGGTTATTGGCGGTCAAGAGCTCAAATTGCTCGGCAAATATTACTTGCAGGTCATAGGTTTCTTCACTGTCTAGCCCTCCTTTAACCTGGCGCTCTCCCTT